TTTGACGTAAAATTAAAATAATTAATATGTTAGCAATGTTCTAATTTTATATAAAAATATTTTAATTAATAATATATATTTATCACAATTGTATATATTAAATTTATGATTACGAAATTACGATATTTTTGCTTATTTTTGTTTAAAAATATTTTTTAAATTCAAATATTATTAATAACTTTAATTATTTGCTTAATAATATACTGTCACTAATAGTGACATAATTATATAGCATATAATTAATGATTATTATATTATTTAATTATTTTGCTTTTACAATATTGTTAATAAATAAAATAAATTTTTATTTTATCTGAAATACAATTAATTTTATGTTGTAAACAAAATAATTATATTTCTATATTTATCAAGATAAAAAATAATAATTTAAGTACAACATAAGTATTAAACAGTAATTATATAAAAAAAACTTATTATTTGTTTTTAATTAATTACTGATTATTTTTATAACAAATATTTTATCTTATTTAATATATTTGTATTTAAAAAAATCATTTATTGTGTATTTAGATTTTTTTAAGATAAACGCCTTTACTTTAAAATAATAAAAATGAAATTTTTAATAAAATTATACTGGATAATTTTAATATTTCATCGATTTATTGGTATAACTTTTGGTGGATTTAGTTTTAATACTAAAACAAACAAACTTGGTCAATCTAATAAATTCAAATATCTTGGCTATATTACCATGATGATAATTGTATTACTAACATTTTACTCATGTATAGTTACTAACATTACTATCTATCAATTATCTAATTTATTGAAAAATCGTAGTAAAATATTAATCTATCTCTATATTATACTATCAATTACTTCATGTAGTTTGTTAATTGCATTAATTTGTACAATCAATTCAAAAACAATGTATACATTAATTGTAACAATAGTTAATAATTGTAGTTTGCGTTATAGAAAACAACTAAATGTATGGCAAATAATTTTATTAATTTGTTGGTTAATATCTATACAGAAAACTATAGTACGTTATATTAATCTATTGTTAACAAATTACATTGGTGCTACTGTATTAGGTTATATGACTTTATTACCATTTGTAATGCAATCTATTGCATTGGAAATATTTATATATTTAATCATATTTATCATGTTGTATATATATTATATGATAAATAATAATGAACATGGTAATATTAAATAATTAATTTTTCTATTATAATTTTAATAAAAATAAATAAATAAATCTAATTTATTTACAGATTATTTCAATATTACTAATAATACAGTTGAAACATTTTCTACTACTACTACCATTACTAATAGTAATTTAAACAAACAAAAAGTTAACAATTCAAATATAAATATGAATTGTTTGAATAATTGTTTTGATAATTACAAAATAATAATTACTAACTTAACTAATTTAATTAATCAACTAAATAGTACAATGATGTATGTAATGCCTGTTTATTTAGTTTATTATATGTTAACAATAATGTCTGGTATATTTTGTGCCGTTTATATTAATGAAATTAATTTGAAATATTTGAGTACAAAAAATCAAGATATATTTATGATCATTGATATTGTTTTATCCACAATATATGTTATTGTAATATGTTTTCTGAGTGATTCAATACAACAGCGTTTGAAATTAATTGAACAATCGTTTAATGAAATCAATACCCGAGTGATGACTGACTATGAGTTTAGACAATGGATTGCATTGAAGGCTATGATTGGAAACACAGCGACAATGTGTCCGACAATCGGAGGGTTCGCTAAACTCAACAAATCAACACTTATTTCGGTATTTTATTTAAAATCGATTTTATCTATATTTTTAACTAATTATCTACTTTTTACAGATGTTTACATTTATGTTAAACTATACGGTTATATTATTTCAAACATCCAGTATAAAAACTTAAAGTCAACAGTTTTTAAAATGATAAAATTAAAATATTAAATACTAATTACTTGTTTAATCTTTTTTATTGAAATTATCAATATTTTTATTAAAACAAATCAACACTTTTTTCGGTATTTTATTAACAATTAATTTTTATTTATATTATTATTAAATAGTTTCTATTATTTAAACATTTTTATATTTATGCTCAATTATACGGTCATATTATTTCAAACATCTAGTTTAAAAAATTAAATGTATAATATAATGCAACTAATTAATTTTGTTTTAAATTTAACTTAAATTTATTTACTATAAAATTTATTTAATTTACAATTTATAAAAATTAATTTTATCATTTAAATTATTTTCTGATTATTATCAAATTCATTACTATTTATTATTAATAAAAAAATCTTTATTAAAACAAATAAATATTATTATTAATGTAAAATAATTATACAGCAACAAAAATTAATAAATTAAATAAAATGTATAGATAATAATAGTAATTATAATAATTAACTTTTTTCTTCAATTCGTATTTTTGCAGATAATGTATGAATTAATATGAAATATCGTATATATTTTACAATAATCTATAAAAAAAAATAAAAAAAACATTATAAGATAATTAATTTTAAAAATTAATAACAAAAATAATCAAACCGTTTGAAACATTGGATAAGTCATTGCACCAAACGGTCCGACATTTAAACCGATTTTACGATTACTCGACAGACGTTCAAAATATGCCAATAGTTTTAGTTTAAAACATAAGCCAAATGACCGACTATTTATACGCCACTGAATACGAGCCAATGGTTTGCACTTTTGATGATACTTTGAGGACAGATATGCCATTAGATAGTTATTGCCTAATATTAAGTTTATGTCTGCTATAGCTTTAGCCAACAAACTTAGTCTTAGATTAAAAACAATGTCTTCAAACAACACCTGATGCCAACACAACAGATTAAATGGCAATAAGCAAAACATTTCAGCAAATTTCAATTTAGAGACTATTTTATTAAAATTATTCAATTGATTGCAACACTGGTTGTGTTGGTCTAAAAAACTACCAATTCTTTCGCATATATCGTTTAGACTAAATATTTTAGTTATAATATTGTCTTTAAGTTTGCTGTTAATTATATTGATTTTGGCTATTGTTATATATAATAATATTGGCAATAATGTCAATATAAATGCAATATTACACGAAGCTATAGTAAATATTATTGTCATAATTATAAATTGGATAATTAATATAGGAATAAATGTCCAATGATTGTAATTAGCTATTTGTAATTGAATAATATAAATTGCAATACCCAGTGCTAGATTTATAATATTTTAATAATTTAATAAATATAAAAAAATAAAATAATTAACTTTAAAATTAATAATTAATGTTTTTTTTGTTGAATAATTAATTTACCTGCACATATCGCATAGAAAAACCAAACATAAATCAATATTTTTGTTAACCATGCTGATTTATTTAATATATAATTTTCATTGCAAAATACATTGAAAATTTCATTATTAGTTTTTATAAAATATTGATTTTTAAATCGCAATTTTCTAACAACTCTATCATTTCTTAACATATTAAATAAGTCAATATAATTATTAACTAAATTTTTATCAGTATTATGTAAAACATAATAAAGTATTAGTGATAATATGCTAAAAATTAATAGTACCAACAAATTGTATTGATAGAGACCACCAATGAATAATGTTATATCAAATAATTCATAACGAGTTTCATAGTTAGCATTCAAACAGATTAGACAAATAATAATATATATTAAATGACAAAAATAAATTAAACTACTAATAAATTTCGACCATTTATTACGGTTACTGTTGAATTTTAATGATCTTAAATACGATTCACCTAGATAATTGTTTAATTTAAATAATTTGTCTAACATATTTATTATTTAAATAATATCTATGAATTTAATTTAGGAATTAAGGCTTAATTAACTTTCGAAAAACTTATATTAAATACTAAATATACATATATGTAAAGTTTATTGTTAAATAATAATTAAACTATTATTTTATTTTATTAATGCCATATCAAAACTGAACACAAAATGTAGTAATTATTTCAATACATATACCGTTATAATTATTTATAAATCTATAAATTTATTATTTTTCTTAGAATTTATTCATAATTATATATTATAATATATTTATATGTTTTGATTGTTAACAATAATTAATAAAAATAATAAATTATAAAATCAATTAATATGAGAATATTTGATTCAAAAAAATCTTATTGATTGTTTAATAACTTTTAATTTATTAGACAAAAATTACTTAAATAAACTTAATAAATAAGTGCATTGAAAATAAATACAGCATATATTTTATACCTCTAGATAGACAAATAGTAAGTTTCTAATAAATTCTTTTGAGAAAATTTCTAGAAAATTTCTCAAGAATAAATTTCTATAGAAATTAAACTTTATTGCTATAGAAATTTAATATATAATACAATGGGATCCCCATAACTATAACTATTGTAATACTATATCAATGAGGTATAATAATATACATATATTATTATACTATATGTACAATACTACTACAGTATATAAAATTGTATATCTATATATAAAATACAGTTATTATAATTATTTAATCAAAATCTGTTTTGTAAAATTTTATTCAATATTTTATTTTAATAGATTACTATGAATTAAAACATATATTTTATTCAAAAAAATCTATGATGATGTAATTAATTATAATAAATAAAACAATTTTATTTAACAATAATATTATATGGAAATAAATTATATATATATATATTTTTAATTAATTTGTTGATCAACAACAAATACAAACTACAAAAATTAGATGTTTTGTACAAATTTATATAAAAAACAAATTAAATGTAAGCAATCAATCAATTATAATAATTGTAATTTTTGTTGAATATGCATCTTTGTAGATAAACTATGAATTAATAGAAAATATCGTATATATTTTACAATAATCTAAAATTAAATCAGAAAAAAATTATTTAGTTTTTTTAAAAAAAAAACTTAAAATTAATGAATAATAAGTATATTAATCAAACCAATTGAAACATTGGGAAAGTCATTGCACCAAACGGTCCGACATTTAAACCGATTTTACGATTACACGACAGGCGTTCAAAATATGCCAATAGTTTTAGTTTAAAACGTAAGCCAAATGACCGACTATTTAGGCGCCACTGAATACGTGCTAACGGTTTGCACATCTGATGAAACTTTGAGGACAGGTATGCCATTAGATAGTTATTACCAAATAGTAAAATCATATTGGCTATTGCTGTAACTAAAAATGTTAATTTTAAATTAAAATCAATATTATTTTCAAACAAACTTTGTTGCCAACACAACAAATTGAATGGCAATAAACAAAACATTTCCATAAATTTTAGTTTAGCAACTAATTTGTTAATACTTTTCAATTGATAGCAACATTGATTGTGATGATTGATAAAACTACCGGTGCTCTTATAATGATATTGTTGATCACATTTTGAAATTAAACTAATTTTTAATTCACGATTTATCAGGTTGATTTTTGAAAACAACAAATACAATAAAACTGGTAATCCAGTCATAATAAATGTCATATTGTAAAATACACTACAAATAGGTATAATAATAATTATTGAATTTATTAATATTAGGGGCAAATAAATCCAATTGTACCTAGGTAATTGCAACGTAATAATTAAAATTGCAAAACCAAATACTATTTAGATAAAAAAATGTAGTAATTAATTATTTTAAATAAATATAATGATGCTTTTTTTTAAATAAATATTATGATGTTTTTTAAATAAATAAGTAAATTTACCTGCACACATTGTATAATAAATCCAATAGTATATGATAAATTTTGTTAGCCATGATGCATTAATTAGTATATTATTGTTATTACAAAATATATTAATAAATTTATTGCTGCTAGATACTAGATATTGATTTTTAAATTTTAATTTTTTAAATGCTAATTTATCTCTAAACGTATTAAACAATTCAATCAAATCAATTATTATATAACGACTATTACTTGTATTATGCAATATATGGTGAAACATAAATGATAGTTCAATAAATATTATAAATGCCATCAAATTGTATTGATAGAGACCACCCATGAATAATGTTATATCAATTAATTGATAACGAATTTCATAATTAGCATTCAAACAGATTAGACATTTAATAAGATATAATAATTGACAAAAATTAATTAAAATTTTGCTAAATTTTGACCATTTATTAGGATAACAATTTGTTTTGAATGATTTTAAATACAAGTCTATTAAATAATTAGTCATTTTAATATATTTTTTCAACATATTTATATTTTATAAAATATACTAAATAAAAAAATATAAACAACATTTAGATAGTAATTACAAAAAAATTATTTAGCAATTTATTATACATATGCCTACAAATGAATAGAATATATAATTTCTATACTATATTGAGAATATAATAATTAATTATTATTTTATAAATTTATGTTTAATTAAAATTTGTTTCATAATAATAATAATATGATTTGCGTGAATGATATACTATTATAGATGTATTAAAATAGCTGTTTCATATAATTTATCATAAAACTCAATTAATATGAAAACTTTTAATAAAATTATTTTTATATTATTTTTATATATACATTCATATTCTAATATATATTTTTTTAAAAATCATTAATAATAAAATAATATTATATATAAAATATATTTAATCTACTGTTATTTACAATATATTTTTTATTGACTAAACTTAAAAATTATAATTCAATAATATATTTAAAAATAAAAAATATTTTCTATAAAATTAACACTATTTAAATAAAGACCATTTTTTACAAAGACAATGCAAATATATATATATATATATATATACTGTATATGCTGTTATATTTAATATTTTAGCATTAAATAACAATATATTTTTGTTTGCACCAAAACATTTCAATATTAATTAATTAATAATTATATTTAATATTTATTTTAATTTTAACAGATATGTACATTTATGCTTAACTATACTGTACTATTTCTTCAAACGGTAAAAGAAAAAATAATATAATTATATTTAAATAATTTTTAATTATCTAATTATTTTGACACTTTGAACATAATTGTGTTATTTGATAATAATTATTGAAAATATTTTACTAAAGCAATTCTATGTACATTATTTGTTACATAATATTTACTGCAATTAATGTCAATCAAAAATATACATGAATAAATTATAATTTAAAATGTAAATTTATAATAATAATACACTTTTGTTAAATATAATTAATATTTATTTATTATTAATGTTTATATATTGTATGCATTATTTAAATGTTTTGTGTATTATTTGTAAAAAATAATTAGTTTTGAAAAATTATTAGAATCTATTATTATTATTATTAAATATATAAATAAAATTATTTTAATAGATAAAATTGAATTTAATATATTGATTATTACACAATATTTTATGAATTTATATATAAGTTACTTTCATTAATATATAAATAGCATAAAAAATATATCTTAACATTATTTTACAATTCTATTAATGAAAATTATAATAAACTATATATTTATTAAAATTTTTGTGAAATTTATAAAACTAAGATATATTCCGATATAATCTAATAATAACTACAATATTTACAATGAATTTACATTTAATAAGACTAATTAAATTATTAATATTATTTCATCGCTTTATTGGCATAACATTTGGTGGCCTAACAATTAGTAATGACAATCAATTACAAAACACAAACAACATTTTTTGTATAAAACAATCAAAATTGTTAATGTACTATGGTTATTTTATTATATTTATTATGTTCAGCCTCAATTGTTATAGCATACAAATTTCTATTGCTATTACAAACTATATGTATGAAAAAAATTATTGGCAATCATTGATATTGTTATATATAATTTATTTATACTTAATTGTCAGTAATGTAATACATGCTATAGTTTTATATACATTAAACTCAAACGATATGTATAAACTAATTAACCATTTGTTGAATAAGTTATCAAAATTTATTAATATTAAAAAATTTCTAATCTATCAATTGATTTTATTTATAATATGGTTTAGTTTTCAATTACTGGCAATAGTTTATTTTTTATATAGATTATTTTTATCAGAAAAAATATATTTTTATTTGACATTCATAATGCAATTGTTATATTTATTTAATTTTATGACAATACTTTCATTTATTTGTCTAACATGGTCATTTATGTTAATTATCATACATGCTCAGCATATATTGATAACATATTTGACTAATTACAACAAGGATCAAGGTAATGTTTACTATAATTAAACTAAATATTAAATAATTTTTTTGGAAAATTTATTTTTATATTTATTTAATGTTGTCACTAATTTTGTAGAATTTACAAATAATCCAATTTCATTGCTAATTAAATGCAAAATTGTAATAAACTATCTTGTTGATTTTATTAATCGTTTAAACAATACTCTATCGTATTCAATGTGTATTTATATCACAAGTCAAGTCTATAAAATAATGTTCAATATATTTACTGTAACACATGTTAACACAAAATTACTTTCTAGTTTTAACAACAAAGAATTAATGATAATTTTAAATTATGATTTAATATTATCAATAATTACTATAATTATTATGTGTTTGTTTGGAGAAATTATTCAACAAAAGTTTTTAACAATTGAACAGTTAGTTAATAATATGAATACCCGAGTGATGACTGACTATGAGTTTAGACAATGGATTGCATTGAAGGCTATGATTGGAAACACAGCGACAATGTGTCCGACAATCGGAGGGTTCGCTAAACTCAACAAATCAACACTTATTTCGGTATTTTATTTCAAAGATTTTTTTTCTTAATTATATTTATAATAATTAATTGTTTTTTTTAATCATTTTTTTATAGTTATTTGTATTCATTTTGAATTATACGGTCATTTTGTTTCAAACTGCTAAATAATAATAAATCACTAAATTATTATAATCTTATATATATTTGTATTATATTAACACATTATATAAACTAATAATAATTAAATTAATTTACTATGTATAATAATCATTCTTATAAAATAAATAAATGTTATAAAAAATCTAAAATATTAAAAATTATTGTTATATTAAATTAAGAAATTAATTAACATTAAAAGTTATACTTATATTGTTATATTATCTAAAATATAGTTAATAAATGTAAATAATTATAATAAATTTAGTTGTGTTATATATTAATAGTATATTATTAATTTTATTATTGTAATTAATTTTTATCAAATGAAAATCCATAAAAATATTATTTACATATGAATGAAACATAAAATAAATATTATTAGTAAATTAAAAAATATGTTTATTTTCATATTTATAATATTTGAAAAAATAAATTATTAATTTATAAGATAATAACAGTGTTTGTGTTATTAATACTTATTATTATTACTATAGAAATGATTTAATAATATAAATAATATATATTTAATTCAAATAACTTGATAAAATAAACTATGCAAATATATTATTAGAAATTTTTGTTGTTGAATGTTTGAGAGCATATATTAAATATGATAACTTTTTTAAATAAAGTGTATTAAATTTTATGTTATAAATTAATTGTATTTGTTGTTGTTGTTGTTAGTAAATGATATCAATAATTACCGTAAATGATTAGTATATTATTAATAAATGCTTTAAAACTTATACATAAATATTTAAAACATTTATATAAACAAACAACAATTAATTATTTTTTTGTAATTATTTTCAATACTAATAAATTAATTAACTACAAATAATTAAGTTATTTTGTAATTTAATATATAAATATATTTTTAAATAAAGTAAAGTTCAGTATAAATGAAAATATCTGTAAAAATAAACAAACAAACAAAAACATTAGTTATACCTGTATATGAAAAATATTAGAAAGTTAATAATCATATTTGAAATAATATTATTTAAGATAGTTATAAAAATTATTATTAAAATTTATGCTTAATTTTATAATAAAGTAAACAATTATAAAAAATCTTTATATAATTAACGCAATTAATGATTTTAAATTATATTATTGTTTATTTATATATAGATAAAATAAATAAATAATTATATATTGATATAATTTTTGGAAAATTTATATTTGTATTTATTTAATGTTTCACTAATTTTATAGAATTTACAAATAATTTAATTACATTGCTAATTAAATGCAAAATTGTAATAAATTATCTTGTTGATTTTAATAATCGTTTAAACAATACTCTATCGCAAATATTCCCTTAAGTTAGCATAAAAGCATAATTTTTAAAAAATAGCCTACGTAGTTTATTTATAAATTAAATAACAATAGTTTTATAATACAAAAATTATATGACATATTTAATTATAAAATAAATATAATAAAATTAAAAAACTATTATAATACATTAAATTGATAACAAATTATAATTTATAATGAGTAATAAAAATTTTAATTAGTAATAGTTTATATAATATAGAGTATATTTTTACCAAATGAAAATTCATAGAAATAAATATTATTATTAGATTAAAAAATTAATTAATTTTTTTACTTATTAAATATTTGATGATCAAGGTAATTTAAATATTATTATTATCAGCATATTAATAATATTAAAAAAAATAAATTATTAATTTATAAGATAATAAAAGTGTTTGTTTTATATAATATATATTTAATTCAAATAACTTGATAAAATAAACTATGTAAATATATTTTTGTTGTTGAATGTATGAGAGATTATTTAAATATGATAATTTTTTAAAATAAATTGTATTAAATTTTATGTTATAAATTAATTGAATTTTGTTGTTGTTGTTAGTAAATGATATCAATAATTACCGTAAATGTTTAGTATACTGTCAATATAACTATCAATAGGTTTTTAAACTATCTAAAGTTGCCACCCATTGACATTGTTGGCCCAAAAACAATCAGCAATAAAAAAGTGGTCATTTACGGTAAATATAAATTTTTTGTCATAAATTCATTCAAATTTAGATTATTATTATCGATAACATAGTTAATATCTTTGATGTTTTTATAGATATTATAGACTTTATCCGACATACGGTCACAGAGATTGGCATTTTGTTGGTGACCTGTATACTGTAGCAGTTGTGCGGCCACTTTGCCGGCAATGGCCAGTACACCGGTACCGGTGATTACTGTATCATTGACTGTGTTGACCTGCGATGACCAACCAATACCATACTTCCAGTACGTACAGTAGTGTTCACAATTGAGTTTCTAGATTTGTGAAGAAAGATAGTTTATATTAATAATAATAATTAAAATAAATATTTTAAATAAATCATTAAATATATATATATATAAGTCTTCATACTCTGAGATCATATTTGAACTGCAAGTTCCTCATTGAATGCAACGTATTGAACACCTGATCCATGTTTATGTCCAACATATTACTCCTATCAGTCTTTTCCTGGGCTATCCTATCGATAACCGATTTCTGATTATTTATCCGACATAATGACGGCTCATCATTGCCACCATTGTCTCTCAGTATATTAGCTAACGGTTCGTAAGTAAGCAGCGCTTTGGCGCTAAAAGACAGACTATCACTGGTGAACATACCGGTGCTGAACAGTCCTTCTGGTTGTTCACTGTCCGAACAGTAGGTCATATGAAAACACCAGACCATTGGCTGGACTGTCTCGCAAAGTATCCAATGGCTGTAATGATTGCGTTGCACTTCAATCATATCTCCCCGACTGAGTTGGCCTACTATGTGGTCGATGTCGACAAATGGCCCACAATTTTCATTCATTTTCATTCAGAACCGGAACTTCAATATATATATAACAACAGGAAAAAAATTTATAGTATTTTATTTTATCGTTGTTTTTATTTATTTATTTTTTTGAAAGTTAACTGTTAGTTTGAAATATATTCTTATTAAATTATATATATATATATATATATTTTTTTAAATTTATTATTTTAATTTTGATTTTATTTAGGTAGGTTGAATTTATATGGTAAGAGATTTTCAATCTACAATGAAGTTTCAATATAAAACTTATTACACATATTTATGGCAACAAATTTATATAATATAATATAAGATAATATAATTATATTAAATTAATTAATAATAACGCAATGTATAAATATTTACAATATGTTTATTATATTTCATGTACAGTAAAACAAAATGATTATATAATTCAATTGTCATGACAGCCAATAGTGATGCAATAGTGACATCACATCACACTAAACATTACACACAAACACACATAAATATATCATAGATTACTCTATATATTATACATACAAATAAACATAATATATCTAATAACTATACATTATAATAGACTCCACCCCTAAAGCATTGAACGCTATATAATAGTGCGCTCATATATATACTTATATACTGTTACATGTTATATGGGTGTCATTGTGTAACTATTGAAAACAATATAAATTATATAATGTATATATACGTAATAAAATACAATTTAAATAATCATAATATTTAAGTGTATAATTTACTATATGTTAGATAAATATACACATATACATATTAAACAGTATATAAAGTATTAATATGATATGTTATAAATTTAAAAAAAAAATAAGTTTTATAAACAAACTATTAAAAGTATATATACTAAATACATTGAACTTTTTAAATATCAATGACAAATATAATAATATTAAGTATATTATTAATAAATGCTTTAAAACTTAAACATAAATATTTAAAACATTTACATAAACACACAACAATTTAGTATTTTTTATTATTTTCAATGCTACTAAATCAATTAACTACAAATAATAAGTTATTTTTTAATTAAATATATAAATATATTTTTAAATAAAGTAAAATCCAATCAACAAAAGTTTTAATTTTTGAGATATAAAATATGAATTTATAAGCTTTTAATTTGTAATATAATAATAGTGTAAATTCAGTATAAATGAAAATATCTGTAAAAATAAACAAACAAACAAAAACATTAGTTATACTTGTATATGAAAAATATTAGAAAGTTAATAATCATATTTGAAACTATATTATTTAAGATATAGTTATAAAAATTATTATTAAAATTTTTGCTTATTTTATAATAAACTAAATAATTATAAAAAATTATTTATATAATTACCGCAATTAGTGATTTTAACTTATATTATTGTTTATTTATAAATAGATAAAATAAATCAATAATTAAATAATTTTGATTGTTATGAAATTTTTGCTTGTAAAATAATAACAGTGTAATTTAGAATAAATGAAAATATCTATAAAATAAATAAAAATTATTAATAATAGTAATAATAAATTAAAATAATAAATATTTTTTTTAAATATTTATATAAAGAAATAATAATAAATATTTATATAATTACAGCAATTAGTGTCGATTTGTTAAATCTGGCGAAACCAGCGATAGTAAAGCCCATCATTGACTGTGATTTGCGTACAATTGTAGCAAACATTTGCCACTCTTTGTAATTCAATTCATCCATATCTCGGGCGTCCATTTGGTCCAACACTTTGGCTAACCTTTCGGTCCTCTGATGGACACAACCGCACAACAGACACGATATAGTCATCGATAGGACTGTCGATATGATTAACATTGAAATGCCTCCAATAAATGAAGTACCAGTTGGTAGTAAACCAATTATTGTAAAAACATAAATATTAAGCATTATTGTATAGATTGTGTTAATTGTATTTATAATGTTTGCCATTTGTATCAATGAATCTATTTTACTAATATTATCTCTAACTGATATAAAAAGTGATTTCAATTCAATTAGTTTGTTGTGTTTTTGTATTAATTTTAAACGTAAACTTTGATTATCTACAAAAAAAATCAAATTTATTTTAGTATCAAATACGTAATCTACTCAATAATCATTTTAATGTTTTTTACTTGAAAAATTCTGATAATTTATTAAACATATGTATTCAAGTTCCCTGGTTATATTTTCAATAATTTGTCCAGTATAAACTGATGATAACCACATTAACGTTGGTATCATCAACAAATAGATACTAAAATTAAAATACGATATTACACCAAGTATTTGATTTACCGATTGTATAGCTAACGGGCCAGTTAGCACCACTACTATGACTAGTATTTCAATGGTCACAATCATCCATGACCATAATAAACAAATAATTAAGATAGGTAAATTTAAATGTTTGTTAGTAGCAGCTAGTCGATTTAATTGATAAATGATTGACATCAATTTATATCCATGTCGATTCAACGTATAGAGTGTTATGTATTTGGTTAGTGTTTCCAGCATACCGGCCCCGATAAATATAAATCGTACACTACTTTTGCTATTAATATTAAGCCGTATGGACGGTACAACCATGTAAATATCACAAACCATAACCAGTACACACGCTATAATGCCGTATAGTTTAAGCAATTTATTACTATAACAACTACTATTGTTCACAACTATTACTAGTCCACCAAATGTTACGCCAAACAAGCGATAAAACCATATAAATATCATTAATATAGTCACCATTTTTGACTTATATAATAAATATTTTTTTATTAAGATATTTGCTTACTGTAAAAATAATATTCCTAATATATCTATTTTTATAAAAAATATTTTATGCAGTCTATTGAATATTAATAAATGTAAAAGTACAATAAAAGTTTATATATTCAACAAAAAATAATAATAATAAATTAGTTGTATAAAATAAATCTTATAATAATTTAATTTAATCAATATTTTATTATTTATTCCTATTATTATTAATACCAATATTATTGTTAACTGAATTATTGTATTTTACTAACATTCTAATATAAATAGTATTTTTTAAAAATATTATATTTATTAAATAGTAAATATAGTAATATAATAATTTTGAATATAATTTGCAATATTACTAAATTAATTATATCTACAAATAAGTTATTTAGTAAGTTATTTTGTAATTAAATAGATAAATGTAATTATTAAATAAAGTAAAATCCAATCAACAAAAGTTTACATTTAAAATATAATTATAATTATTTATAAGTTTTTAGTTTGCAATATAATAATAATGTTATTCAGAATAAATGTAAATATCTGTAAATATATACACAAAAAACATTATTTATAACACTAGAAAGTTAATAATCATATTTTAAATAATATAATTTAAGATTGTAATAAAAATTATTATTAAAATTTGTGCTTAATTTTATACTAAAGTAAAGATTTATATAAAAAAAACTCTTTATATAATTACCGCAATTAATGTTTATAAATGATATTATTATTGTTTATTTATTAATAGTGTCAGCCAAGAGGCCGACAATTAGATGAAATGATGGTTTGATTAAGAGATAACGATTACATGTAGTGATTGGGTTGAGGGACAAAACGTTACTAAAGGGTGGAAAGGGATGTGATGTCTATATGAGCGGTGTGTCTGTCTGTCTGTGAGTGTATACAGTCGACATCTGGTCGACAATTCCCCGACCGCGAAGACCAGCGTCTATACGGCGTGGACGAATCGGGTGAACGTTTGACAACTTGTACGGCCAAATGGACAGTCTATGAACGCGTGAAACGAATCCATCCGCTGATGGATTGATGGGCGGCGTTGTGAATCGCTTCATAATACGGTGGCTTCGGTGATGTTGTCGTGATTGATGGCGATATGTGACACGATATGATGACGTGAACGACATGTCGTTACGTCCACTATCAGGAGTCACACGTGAATGGTGTGACGCTTTCTGATGCGTCGTCTGTATTATAAGATTTCTTGTATATGAATACGAATGTTGTCGTCGACTGCGGGTGTTATTCATATACAACGTATATATCGGTGGTGATAGCGAAACGATATTTGTTACGACGTTTACATCGTTGCCTACGTCTTGAGATTTGGTGTCGGCGATTTCTCGTCCAATAGTTATAGTGTCTGTCGCCCGATGGATGTCAAGGACAGTCGGTGTCACAATAGGACGACATGTTTCTGTTGGTGTTACGATTTGAACGCAAATCGTGATGTCTTTGTTCGTTGAGCTGTCCGATGACCAGCTTTCGGTGATAGTGTCAGTTGGTTGACCGGCGTCGCCGTCAGTGTGGTATTGAAGAGCCGAAGCGATGAGACGCTCCTTTTCGATGGCTTCGATGGTGAGTAACGTGAATATGCGATACCACTCCTTTGTTGAGTCTTTGGCTGCATAATGAATCGATGCCGTGGGTGGTAAGCTGTTGAGTGTCATATTGTTATTACGAGCTACCGATGTGCGGTAAAACTGGACCGTCGGTTGTGCGAAACCGTGAGACCCGTGCGGCGACGGTCTCATTGTGTTGGCCGCTTACGTCTTCGTCCGCGTTGTCTTCGGTGTTTGTCGTGTTGATAACGTTGCGGTTGACACGTTTGCTGCGAAGTGAGGCCCGTATGCGCTCAGCACGTGTTGGGCACCTCGTACTGTATCTGTACGGCATTTTCGTTGATTCACGGTTTTTGTCGATGAAATCAACTACAGTAATGCGTTATCCTGCCGACTGCGCCAATAATGTCAGCCAAGAGGCCGACAATTAGATGAAAAGATGGTTTTATTGATTATTAAATATAACGATTACATGTAGTGATTGGGTTGAGGGACAAAACGTTACTAAAGGGTGGAAAGGGATGTGATGTCTATATGAGCGGTGTGTCTGTCTGTCTGTGAGTGTATACAGTCGACATCTGGTCGACAATAGAAAAAAATGGATTATTATATATAATTTTGATTAATATGAAATTTTTGTTTGCAAAATAATAAC